ACCTCTGGTCACCCAAAACCCGGACCACCGGGAAATCGAAGTCCCCCCAGCAAAAATTGAGACGTCGCCCTGCGAATCTCCGCCCCGGACCCCCAGCGTTTCTCCTGTCACCGAGCCGCCGCATCCCAGACACCTTCCCGCCAACCCCCCCAAAACATGCACCCTACGTCCCCTCCATCCCCGTCCCAACCCACTGATGCCCCCTCGGACGCCCGCTTTAACGCACCCCAGATTGCAGCCAGCCACCTGCTGGATCAATCCCACTCTCCCCTACAGGGGGGACTTTAGGGACCCCTCCAACGGTGTTATAGCTTCCACATCCCCTCCCCCTGACCCGCCCCCCCTTTCACCCCCCTGCCCAAAAGCACTGCACTCACCCCGCATGCCACCTGCACTTCTCCTCCTCGTTTTCCTTCCTCCATCCAAAAATTCCCCTATCTCTACCCGCCCCCCCCCAAAAGCTCTACTTTGCCCTTCATTCTGCCCTTCCCCTACGGCACTCCCCAACCTCCTCCTGGTACTCCACCCCCCGGTCGACCCACGTCCCACATACCAGACCCAAGCTCCTGCACCTCCCATTCCATGCCACCCCCTCACCCTTCTCCTTCTCTACCCGTGGGGCATTCCCCGAACCCTGGCCCTCACCACTTTTTCCCCCCCCTCCGGGACCCCCCTTCCCCCGCCGCCCGCAACCCCCTCAATTTACCTGTGCCCCTCCCCCCCATTTTCCATCCCCCCTCTCTCGGTTGCACTTTGACGCCCCCGTCGGTTTGAAACAAAACTAACTCCCTTCCATGCCCTTTTTATCCCCCGCCCCCTCAACCCCCCAAGCCTCACCAAAAACCTGGGTAAGGCCACCGACTCTACCTCCCTGCGGCACTCTCTCTGGAGGTCTCATCTGGCCCATTCACCAAACGGGGGGGCCCAAAAGGGTGGGGGGTGTCGGCCTGTCCATCACGTGAGCCCTTCCGGTCTCCTAACCCCCCCTACCCCCCCACCCACCCTCCTCCCCCCCCCCCTCCCCCCACCCTCCCCCCCCACCCCCCCGTCCTGCCTAGCCCCCACCGCTACAACGACTCACTTCAGCCCCCTAGATCTCTGGCCCCCCTTAACCCCCGCAACATAAACCCCAACCGCCCCAAACTTGGCAGAAGACCACACTAAATCCCAAAAAGCGCAGTCGTACGCGGGGGGGGACTATGGCGAAAACAGGTCCCCTCATGCATTTCCCTCTACAATTGTTCCTCCCTACACCCCCTCCTCCCGCCCCAAAAGAGGCCTCTTCGTTGATGATCAACACCCTTCAAATGCCCTGCCGCTCTTCTCCCCCTTAAAACCCCTGCTCTCTCCCCCCCCCCTCCATCAGACCTCACTTACCGCCCACGAGATTCCCATCTTTCCTTGAAAAGTTGAGCAATCCGCAAGGAAAATAGAAAATTGCGTCTATCTCCCCTCTAGCCTCTCCCCTTCCATCACCCTTCATCTTCCCCTCCTTTGCCCTTGCATCGGCATGCCCCCCACCACACCCAAGGGGCCCGCCTACCGTAACCCCCCCCATCACTGCACCCTTCCCCCTATACCACTGAGGAAGTCACAGGTCTTCCAGAAGCCGCCTCATTTCTGCCCCCTGGTCCCATCCCCTTCAACTCCCCGGTCACCCCCCTTTCCCTCATCCGTCCTTACCCACTTTCAATCTCCCCCTCGTCTGGCGTTTCCCCTCCCCCCTTTTAAAAATGGAACATCCCCCCCCATACTCAAAAAACCTCCCTGGCCCCACTGACCTCAAAAAAACCTCAGACCTTTTCCCCCTGCTGCCTCACTTCAAGCCCTTGGCGCTTGGTCTACGAGCCAAAGCCCCACTAACTGACAACAACTCCTTACCCTACATCGGGTTCCCGCCCCCTAACTCCCCCAAAAACTGCCCCCTAAAAATCACAAAGATCTACTAACTGCCAAACCCAAAAGGCGACTACTCTGTCCCCCTCCTCAGACCTTTGCGGCTTTTGACAAGTGAACCCCCTCCTTTTAAATAAAACCTCTCCCTTGGACTTCATCCCAATTCTCCGCCCGCATCACTCACCTCCTAAACCACATCTCTGACTGGATGTCGCTCCATTCCTCAAACTCAACCTCTCCAAAACCGAGCTTCTCGGTCTTCCCCTTCCCGTACTCGCCCCCCCCCCCATCCATTTCCATCACTACCAACAACACCACCATCAATCCCCGCCCAGCAAGCCAAGGTCCTTGGCGTCATACTGGCCTCAAACCTTTCCTTCCAACCTCATGTCAAATCACTCACAAATACATGCAGGCCCACCTTCGCAACATCCATCGCCAAAAATACCGCAGACCTTCCCTTACCCCAGACACCACTAAACTACTCGTTCACTCCCTGATTATCTCACGCCTTGACTACTGCAACTCCCTCCTCATCGGCCTACCCCAGTGCAAAACTCTCCCCGCTTCAGACCATCCTGAACTCAGCTGCCAGACTCATCCACCTCACCAGCCGCTCCACCTCTGCCACCCCCCTCTGCCTCTCCCTCCACTGGCTCCCCATTGCCCAACGCATTAAATTCAAACTGCTCACTCTGACCTATAAAGCCATTTCACAACACTGCCCCTAACTACCTCACCGACCTGATTCCCAAGTACCACCCTACCCGTAACCCTTCGCTCTTCACAGGACCTCCTATCTTGCTCCCCTGGTCTCCTCCTCCCACGCACGACTGCAAGACTTCTCCAGGTCCACCCCCATCCTCTGGAACTCACTACCCCAATCCATCAGACTGTCACCTTCCCTCCTCACCTTCAGGCGCTCCCTGAAAACCCACCTCTTCAGGGAAGCCTACCCCACCCTCACCTAACAGCCGCTGCCCTTCCCTCCTCCTACCACTACCATCCCCCACAGCCATTTCCTCCTGTACCTCTACCCCCTCCCTCCTAGATTGTAAAGCTCGAAAGAGTAGGTGCCCTCTTACCCCTTGTGTGCTGTTTGATGTTACTGTACTGTTTCATGTATTGTCCCCCCTCTATTGTACAGCGCTGAGCAAACCCTTTGGCGCTATATAAACTCGAGGAATAGTGCCCCATCGTTGGTGTCGGTGGGGGGAGGAATAGTGCCCCATCGGTTGGTGTCAGTGGGGAGAGAATAGTGCCCCATCGTTGGTGTCAGTGGGGGGAGGAATAGTGCCCCATCGTTGGTGTCAGTGGGGGAGAGGAAATAAAAAACAAAAGTGCCCCATCGTTGTGTCAGTGGGGGGAGGAATAGTGCCCCATCGTTGGTGTCAGTGGGGGGAGGAATAGTGCCCCATCGATGGTGTCAGTGGGGGAGGAATAGTGCCCCATCGTTGGTGTCAGTGGGGGAGGAATAGTGCCCCATCGTTGGTGTCAGTGGGGGAGGAATAGTGCCCCATCGTTGGTGTCAGTGGGGGGGAGAATAGTGCCCCATCGTTGGTGTCAGTGGGGGAGGAATAGTGCCCCATCGTTGGTGTCAGTGGGGGAGGAATAGTGCCCCATCGTTGGTGTCAGTGGGGGGAGGAATAGTGCCCCATCGTTGGTGTCCAGTGGGGGGGAGGAATAGTGCCCCATCGTTGGTGTCAGTGGGGGGAGGAATAGTGCCCCATCGTTGGTGTCAGTGGGGGGAGGAATAGTGCCCCATCGTTGGTGTCAGAGGGGGGAGGAATAGTGCCCATCGTTGGTGTCAGTGGGGGGGAGGAATAGTGCCCCATCGTTGGTGTCCGTGGGGGGAGGAATAGTGCCCCATCGTTGGTGTCAGTGGGGGAGGAATAGAGCCCCATCGTTTGGTGTCAGTGGGGGGAGGAATAGTGCCCCATCGTTGGTGTCCAGTGGGGGGAGGAATAGTGCCCCATCGTTGGTGTCAGTGGGGGGAGGAATAGTGCCCCATCGTTGGTGTCAGTGGGGGGGAGGAATAGTTGCCCCATCGTTGGTGTCAGTGGGGGGAGGAATAGTGCCCCATCGTTGGTGTCAGTGGGGGGAGGAATAGTGCCCCATCGTTGGTGTCAGTGGGGGGAGGAATAGTGCCCCATCGTGGTGTCAGTGGGGGGAGGAATAGTGCCCCATCGTTGGTGTCAGTGGGGGGAGGAATAGTGCCCCATCGTTGGTGTCAGTGGGGGGGAGGAATAGTGCCCCATCGTTGGTGTCAGTGGGGGAGGAATAGTGCCCCATCGTTGTGTCAGTGGGTGGGAGGAATAGTGCCCCATCGTTGGTGTCAGTGGGGGGAGGAATAGTGCCCCATCGTTGGTGTGTCATGGGGGAGGAATAGTGCCCCATCGTTGGTGTCAGTGGGGGGAGGAATAGTGCCCCATCGTTGGTGTCAGTGGGGGAGGAATAGTGCCCCATCGTTGGTGTCAGTGGGGGGAGGAAATAGTGCCCCATCGTTGGTGTCAGTGGGGGGAGGAATTAGTGCCCCATCGTTGGTGTCAGTGGGGGGAGAAATAGTGCCCCTCGTTGGTGTCAGTGGGGGGAGGAATAGTGCCCCATCGTTGGTGTCAGTGGGGGGAGGAATAGTGCCCCATCGTTGGTGTCCAGTGGGGGGCAGGAATAGTGCCCCATCGTTGGTGTCAGTGGGGGAGGAATAGTGCCCCATCGTTGGTGTGTCATTGGGGGGAGGAATAGTGCCCCATCGTTGGTGTCAGTGGGGGGAGGAATAGTGCCCCATCGTTGGTGTCAGTGGGGGGAGGAATAGTGCCCCATCGTTGGTGTCAGTGGGGGAGGAATCGTGCCCCATCGTTGGTGTCAGTGGGGGGAGGAATAGTGCCCCATCGTTGGTGTCAGTGGGGGGAGGAATAGTGCCCCCACCATTACTCGAACATCGTTGGTGTCAGTGGGGGGAGGAATAGTGCCCCATCGTTGGTGTCAGTGGGGGGAGAATAGTGCCCCATCGTTGGTGTCAGTGGGGGGAGGAATAGTGCCCCATCGTTGGTGTCAGTGGGGGGAGGAATAGTGCCCCATCGTTGGTGTCAGTGGGGGAGGAATAGTGCCCCATCGTTGGTGTCAGTGGGGGGAGGAATAGTGCCCCATCGTTTGGTGTCAGTGGGGGTAGGAATAGTGCCCCATCGTTGGTGTCAGTGGGGGGAGGAATAGTGCCCCATCGTTGGTGTCAGTGGGGGGGAGGAATAGTGCCCCATCGTTGGTGTCAGTGGGGGAGGAATAGTGCCCCATCGTTGGTTGTCAGTGGGGGGAGGAATAGTGCCCCCATCGTTGGTGTCAGTGGGGGGGAGGAATAGTGCCCCATCGTTGGTGTCAGTGGGGGAGGAATAGTGCCCCCATCGTTGGTGTCAGTGGGGGAGGAATAGTGCCCCATCGTTGGTGTCAGTGGTGGGAGGAATAGTGCCCCATCGTTGGTGTCAGTGGGGGAGGAATAGTGCCCCATCGTTGGTGTCAGTGGGGGGAGGAATAGTGCCCCATCGTTGGTGTCAGTGGGGGAGGAATAGTGCCCCATCGTTGGTGTCAGTGGGGGGAGGAATAGTGCCCCATCGTTGGTGTCAGTGGGGGGAGGAATAGTGCCCCATCGTTGGTGTCAGTGGGGGGAGGAATAGTGCCCCATCGTTTGGTGTCAGTGGGGGGAGGAATAGTGCCCCATCGTTGGTGTCAGTGGGGGTTGGTGGAATAGTGCCCCATCGTTGGTGTCAGTGGGGGGAGGAATAGTGCCCCATCGTTGGTGTCAGTGGGGGGAGGAATAGTGCCCCATCGTTGGTGTCAGTGGGGAGGAATAGTGGGGGTTGGTGTCAGTGGGGGGAGGATAGTGCCCCATCGTTTGGTGTCAGTGGGGGGAGGAATAGTGCCCCATCGTTGGTGTCAGTGGGGGAGGAATAGTGCCCCATCGTTGGTGTCAGTGGGGAGGAATAGTGCCCATCGTTGGTGTCAGTGGGGGAGGAATAGTGCCCCATCGTTGGTGTCAGTGGGGGAGGAATAGTGCCCCATCGTTGTGTCAGTGGGGGAGGAATAGTGCCCCATCGTTGGTGACAGTGGGGGAGGAATAGTGCCCCATCGTTGGTGTCAGTGGGGGGAGGAATAGTGCCCCATCGTTTGGTGTCAGTGGGGGAGGAATAGTGTGCCCCATCGTTGGTGTCAGTGGGGGGAGATAGTGCCCATCGTTGGTGTCAGTGGGGGAGGAATAGTGCCCACCATCGTTGGTGTCAGTGGGGGGAGGAATAGTGCCCCATCGTTGGTGTCAGTGGGGAGGAATAGTGCCCCATCGTTGGTGTCAGTGGGGGGAGGAATAGTGCCCCATCGTTGGTGTCAGTGGGTGGAGGAATAGTGCCCCATCGTTGGTGTCAGTGGGGGGAGGAATAGTGCCCCATCGTTGGTGTCAGTGGGGGGAGGAATAGTGCCCCATCGTTGGTGTCAGTGGGGGGAGGAATAGTGCCCCATCGTTGGTGTCAGTGGGGGAGTAATAGTGTCGTTGTGGGGGGAGGAATAGTGCCCCATCGTTGGTGTCAGTGGGGGGAGGAATAGTGCCCATCGTTGGTGTCAGTGGGGGGAGGAATAGTGCCCCATCGTTGGTGTCAGTGGGGGGAGGAATAGTGCCCCATCGTTGGTGTCAGTGGGGGAGGAATAGTGCCCCATCGTTGGTGTCAGTGGGGGGGGAGGAATAGTGCCCCATCGTTGGTGTCAGTGGGGGAGGAATAGTGCCCCATCGTTGGTTGTCAGTGGGGGAGGATAGTGCCCCATCGTTGGTGTCAGTGGGGGAGGAATAGTGCCCCATCGTTGGTGTCAGTGGGGGAGGAATAGTGCCCCATCGTTGGTGTCAGTGGGGGGAGGAATAGTGCCCCATCGTTGGTATTAGTGACAGCCTGGGCTCGCTCTCTCACTTACCTGTCAGCTGTCTTCCTTCTCTGGCCGCTCTCCCTCTTCACTCGCCTCCGGCAGCTCCCTCGATCTTCTTGATGTACGCCGCTGCCGCTCGGACTCCTCCTCCTCCAAGCTCCACCTCCTCCGCCGGTGAGATTGGCCCGCCTGTGTGCCTCTCCTGAGCTACAGTTTCCGGTGGCCAATCAGCGGCGAGGAGGCGGAGCTGCTGAGTGATCCCGAGGTGTGTGGCCAGGTGACAGGAGCAGCGTATCATCCCGCCCACACATCGCCGGAGAGAGGAGCGGTGTCTCGGTTCCTAAGACCATCGGAAATATGTGTTTTCCGATGGTCTTAGGCGACCCCTGGGAAATGGTCGTTTCGACCCCCAAAAGGGTGTCGCGACCCCCAGGTTGAGAACCGCTGCTTTACAGTTACCACTTTAGATTCACACAGGAGATCTGGTGCTAGAATTACTACCTATGATCTTAAGTGTGGAACGATCGCTGTTTTTGCGTGCATTCGAGACCGACACTAGTTCGCCTTTGCAGGCGAGCATGGGGGGACAGGGCCCCATTAAATTTTTGTATATTTTTTAGCATTGTGACTATAGATAAATATATAAATACTAATATTTTTTTTTTTTTCACGCTGTGACATAATATAAATTTTTTTAGTCACATCTATTGGGCAGCACAGTGGCTAAATGGTTAGCACTTCTGCATGGTAGTACTAGGGTCATTGGTTCAAATCCCAACCACGGCACCACCTGCCTGGAGTTTGCATGTTTTCCCTGTGCCTGCGGTGGGTTTCCTCTGGGTACTACGGTTTTTTCCTCCCACACGCCAAAGACATGCTGGTAGGTTAATTGGCTCCTGTCTAAATTGGCCCTAATATGTATATATGTATGAAGTGAGTTAGGGACCAATAGATTGTACACCCCATGAAAGTTAGGGACTGATGTGAACGTACAATATATATGTTAAAGCGCTGCGTAAATTGATGGCGCTATATAAGTACCTGTAATAAATAATAATTGCTGTTACAAAGAATGTAAAACATCCCTTGTAACAGCAAAAAGGGAATGTGTCATGTACTCTTTAATGGAGTCCCCTTCAAAGCATCTGATCACACCAAGATCGGTGTGATCAAATGCTTTTCATTTCTAAAAATGTGCGCCGCTTACCGCCATGGTAAACTGGAAGTGATGTAAGGTCTTTGCTTTCGGGTTTACTACATCAGGTATAACTACTCAAACTCCAGCAATGTACGGGTACGTCGCTGGAGCTGAAGTGGCTATTGAAGGGATTTAAAAAAAAGTATACCACCAAAACAGCTGTACTGTAATGATACAATTACAAATGTATATTTAGGACATAAACTAGAAATAGAGCACTTCCTTAAACAGAACATACCGTTAAAAAGGGATGCCTTGTATTCTGCAAGACTCTGCCTCTCTGTAACTTATGAGCTACTTCATCCTGGAGTTAAAGAGAAGATACCACATGAGAAACCAAAATGAGACAGCAGAAACACAAGTAACATGAAAAGCAAAAAAAGCCACTCTTTGTTTTTCTCTTTGTTTGAGCTCTATTCATGAAAACATGTGCAGGGCAATCACTTACATATACAGTGCTATATGGGCAATGTGATACCTTATAATTCCGGTATACCTGAAGACATCTTTGTACATGCAGGTAGAAAATAATCTCTTCCCTTTCTTGGTATTCCATAGTTTATATGACTTAACAAACGTGACCAAGAGTGGCTGGCATGAGACTTGGATAAAAGTTGAGGGTAGTGCTAATGCTGACTCTGTCCAGTTTCCTAAAGGTTTTTGTTTGACCAAACATTAGAAAGGTGAAGCTGAGGGATCTAAGTGTCTGTCTAAGGAATAACTCTTGGTGCAAGGTGTGGAGATCAGAGTGTTGACCTCCTGGAAATTGTCGTGTCTCATATATATATATATATATAATATAATATATATTATAATATATATATAATATATATATATATAAAGGAAAAGTTTGGAGTTGTTCTTTGCAACGTCTTCTGCGTTTTGACTCAAAGTAAAGTCCTAAAGGGGAAGATCAGCAATGACAGCCAGGCAACTTTTCATTTTTAGAAGTTGTCAGCAATGGCTCTTTCAAGAGGAGAAGCAAAGATGAAGACAAGAAGTCCACAGCTGCTCAGATAACTAAACTTCGTAAAAAAAAAAAAAAAAAAGCACACAGAAGGGCATGAGTAAATGTCCCCCGGCAAGTCAATGCTTAAAAAGAATACACTGCAACAGAAAACGTCTTACGGCAAGTTCAAACCCAATCAGCAAAAAACAGAATAAAGCCACAGCCTAAAAAGACATCATGAAAACTAGAAAGAAGGCTAGGAAAGCCATTGCCTGGGTCCGATGCCTCCTCCATTTCCATGGACATGTAGATGGTGGGGGTCATGACTTGCATTCAACACAACCATGAAACTTTGGCTTCATCCCAAAAAGTTGAGCACATAAGACCCTTTTTAAAGCCACTCCCCCCCACTGTAACTCATGCTTAATATTCTTTATAGTTCCTTTTCTAGATGTCCCATGATAAGCAGGGTCCTCTTTGGATCTTCTCTTGAGCTGGGAGGTCCAAAATGATGCCTGTGTTTGTTTATATCGAGTACATAAGCACCATGGTGACACCCAGCAACAGTAAAGACATCCCTCATGGACATCTGGAGGTGAATCTGAAATAACTGTGGGGAACAGCGCTGTAGAGGCGGTCCAAAGCTGCCTTTTTATTTTGAAACAAACCATGCTCACAACCCCTTTATGTGTAAAATAATATGTACCAACCCTAATAAAGTGGTCCCACAACAGCATATATAGGAGCTTAAAACTCTTGCCGCACTCACCTTGGCTATTATGGACATCTTATGGCGATAAAATTTTCTCATAGCATAATATGCGACCCGTTGCCTCACCGTACCAAGAAACACATTTCCAAATGTTTCCTTTTCAAACAGCTTCAGATAGTCAAAATCATTCATTGACCTACAGATGAAGAGTTTCACAAATGAAAAAAAAAAAACAAAATTAGTAAAAAAAACCAGCAAATATTTCCTTTTATTTGTCATTAACCCCAAAAACAAAAAATTTATTAAAGGTTTTTTTTTTCCCCTTTTTGCCCCGTTCCCTGGGGAAATTTTGCGGCATGCCCCAGTAGGGTGTCGTTTCCGGATGAGGAGCAGGGGTTTCGTAGATCCTTTGCTGGTTTTTCCCATTTTTGTTCTGTGCATGTGGTGTGTGGGACCAGAGGTTTAC